AAAAAAAAAAAGAGCAAAGAAGAGTTCGTTCAGGAAAAATCTTCAACTCGAATCTTAATAAAGTTGCAGAATCCTTAGCCGATAGCTAACTGGCGCTCTTAGGGCTTCTTAACTTTTTTTTCTTAAGATCCCTTCGAACCGGTTCGATTCATCGACCGATCGTCACTGGCACGAGTTCAAGATCCTCGAAGAGAGAAAGAAGAGAGAATGAATACGATTCGACGAGAGGACTGATCAGTCTTCGATTGATCTCTTTTAGGTTGTTGGCAGTGGATTGATGAAATATAACAGGTAGAGATTCTATTGAAATTGTACCATTATCCCTTGCATCCCTTTTGGATCTCATTTTCTTGAACCACCCCGAGGAAACAACGCACCAGGATGAAAACTCCTGGTTGAAAAACCAGGTTGAATTATCTTCTGGAGAAGAAAAGGTGAGCCTTATTATTATTATTATTTTTTTTTTTTACTCGAAAATGTACACTCCGCTGACAATATTAATTGAATTCAGCATACGGGAAAAAGAAGACAGTTCTTCTTAACATTTATTTCTTTTTCTTCTTTTTACCTTAAAAAAAAAAAAAATAATAAAAGAAGAAGAACCAGTTAGAGTGAATAAAAACCGAGTGTTTCGAAAAGTTTTTAAATTTATTACAAAATTAAACATACGAGTATATTTATATATGTATATATATTATAAATGCAGTATAATTTTTAATTTTTCAAACATTACACAGTATAAACTAGAAATTTAACTTTTTCTAGCATTCTATCAGAAATACAGAATTAAATTAATAGTTTTTAACTAGTTTTAAGTTTCTCTTACTTATTCATCACCGCTAACAGACAAATTTCTTTGATTTAACAAACATCCTATCGCAAGAAACTAAAAAAACTAAAAATATAAATTCATTGATATAAATCCTTCAAAAAACTTCAATATTATTAGCCCATAAACATTCGATGTATAACAATAAATATAACCTCTGAAATATTTATTAAAGATGGGTTGTTATCAATCTTTTCTGAAATAAAAAAATACAAAAAGATATACGCAAAATTTATGTTTTACATATATGTGATAACCTGAGATGAAAATCATTATGGTACGAATGACTAATAATCTAATTGTTCTCTAAACTTTGAGATATATGATTTATCAGTATTAAATTAAAATTGCATATAGATCACTATGATGATACTTTAAATTAATCCTTGAGAATTTAATAATAAATTTCATTCGATGATTTTTTTCAGTTTGCAATGTCGAGAATATTTCAAATCAAGAAAATGTATATTTACTTTACCGATTTCAACTATTTTTATTTTTTTTTGATTTTTATCTTTGGCAAATTTTGATGATTCTATCAATAAATGCTCTTAATCAAGTCATATTTAATTATCTAATCTCAAGACCCCTTTAATCATGATTATATTTGTGTAATTTTATTAAATAAACAAAATTTTGTAAATTGATTTAACATATTAATTTACATGTTATTTGAAATAACATTTTTTTCATCGTTGTTTATAGAAATAAACAATCGCTCCATTGTTTTAAGCCTCAGGACTTCTTTTAAGGATTTTATATACATATATTTTATAAAATGTGATAAATTTTGGAAATAAAAGATCCCTTAAATTAAAAATGTATCTTAATATTCTTAATAATTAATGATAAAATAAAAATGAAATAACATCAATATAATTGCAACAAGTTGCATTACAACGTTTTCTACAGTATTCAATGTTTCAACATTCTGTATATACATAAATGTTTTAATATTTGTTAGATACTTGCATTTTATGACTTTTATAAAATGTTCAATTTTTCGCAAGTAATTTTTTTCAAAAATATATATATACATATATATATAGTGTTGAGTTATCTTATTTTCACATCACGAATCTCTTATTTCCTGGTCACTTTCATATTTTTTATTTCACTAAAATACACTATCATGTATAAAATGGAAAAAAATTTTGTAGTTAGTAATAGATTAGTATAAATCTACAAAAGAACACAATAAGAGCCAGTACATTATTTTGTATAAAATAATTTTTTAAAAAAAACGGAGTAACAGTATAAAAAGAAGTAACTATTTTTTAAGCATGAACAATTATAACATATACACGTAAATCTTCATAATTTAAAAATTAATTAAACAATACAAATTAATTTTATATGGAACTTTCCTGTAATCAATAATACGATTTTTTTTCAGATGATATAAATCTAGATAACAAAAAATATATATTTTACAGTACCATTACATTGCTATAATTTTAAATAGATTGTTATCTTCATATAGATTACACAGTAATCTTCACAATAAGAATTATAAAATTGGATCACTCTTCTCGTAAGACGGTTAAACACTTTTTGAGCAATTCCGCGTGTGCCTGTAAACGAAACATTTTTAAAACCATTTTAAAACCATGAACAATTATATATGAAAATAGAATTAAAGTATCCTTACTTTTGCATGTTTTATTTCAAGTTCAGTTAATTCAATCAGATTCTTTCTAAAAGCAGTTACTCTCCTCGTTTTAAAATCTGTTAATTCTGTAACAAAAAATACGTTATTTACAACATTGTAACTGTTTATCAAATGATGTAACTATATATGTGTATTATTTTTTTACCTTCTTTTCCTTTTTCTGACATTTGCTCAAATTTTTCACAGGCTTCTGTTTGAGCTTGTTCCGCCTAAATAAACAAAAATAATTATATATTCCATAAAAATACATAACATTACCAATCTCAAACACTTTCTTTTTTAATAAATGTATTTATTTAAAAAACATGCAATATTTCGAATAATTATATAGCATTTTTGTATTTTTCGCAATTGCAAAATATGCCTCTCCTACATTTTTTTGTTGAAATATTTTTTGATATTCTTCCCTTTTTATTCGAAATTAAATAAAGAAAAAAACGTTCATGCAAATTTATTTCATGCATGTTTAATTAAATAATCTAAAATACATTCACATTAATTTTAATCTCTCCCTTTTTCTCCAATACATGGTGACTATATTAATCCTGTGAAAATATTTCTATATATTGCTCATAAAAGTAATGCGACTTAGTTTTGTAGAAAAATGATGTTTAAATTACTAAAACAAGGCGGCAAACATACAAATACGGAAAAACACACCTCAGCAACTTCCACTGCCTTGATGAGCAAAAAAATTAAATCCTTAGTTAAATATACAGTGTGTATACACACACACGTGTGTGTGTATATACTGTATTTGATGATTGAAGTAACTCATTTGTTACAAATATTATAATATGAATTATTACAATAATATTACAATAATACATGTGACATATACTTACAGCGTGAACATCTTTGTTTTTGGCACGAGCTTTTTCAAGAGCACGATTTGCAGATTCATACGCGTGTAAAGCTTTTAATCTCCTAAACAAAAGCCGTTTAGCTGCAGCTGTATCCCTCATATAGTAACGCAGAGTGTCTGACAATTTTAAATCTTCATCAGACGCTACTCGTCCCTCTACTTTCTATTACATTGTAACATTATAAGTATAAATAATATGAAGAAATAAATCAAATAAATTAAATTAAGAAATCTTACCCTTAACTTCTCGAACATTTCTGCTATTTTTGTTAAAAATCTTTCCAATTTACCAGTATCAGTTGTAGCTAATTGCAAAAGATTTGTGGAAATTTTAATATATGAATCTGCTACGTCTTTGTGCTTGGCAGTCTGCCGATCTGAACGAACTGTTGCTTCTTTTAAATTATGATGATAGGTTTGTAAAAATGTCATTTCTTGATCAAAGAAATCATTTACATCTTTCACTGTTGCAGACAAATAATATTCATCTGTCGTAGTGGAAAATGACTTTACCAAACCGCCAAACATTTCCATTTTATTTTTTCCTGAAAAAAATAAAAAAATTATATTTCTTATTCATGCTATACAACAAGAAAGTTTTTCTTTTGAAGAATAAATTTTACCTCTTACACAAAGATCCTGATCATATTCTAAGAACACTCTTAAATTATGATCATTACGAAAAACTGGATGATGTGCCAGTCTAGTTAGAAACATTTCGTGCATTGCAACAGTTTTTTTAAATGTTGCTAGGTATTCACTGTAAAAATATGTAATTTTATAGCTTTAACATAACTGAAATATATTTTAATATTTATATATGTATAACTTACGCTTCTAATTCTTGTTTCATTTTATTAAACTCTTCACGTGTCATGTTACCTTCACCCTCTCCAAGTTTTTGTAATTTTTCACGAGATGCATCAAAATCTGGTCGTGGTGGGCAAGGAGGAATCTAAAGAATATATTTTTTCTGTCCATTATTAGAAAATTACAATTATACAGTACACAGAAGAAAGCAAATAAACATACAATATAACCAGCATATTCTTCATTTTCCTCAAATCGGTCATGTAACCATACAAACTCTTCATGTTGCCTTACAACTAGGTTATCTGGCTTTTGAAATTCTGGTAATGTAGTTGTCGTATGTACAGTGAACTTTACTTTATCCTTTTCGCTAAGAGCATCCGAAATATCTACTTGTAATGACTTGTCAGAGAGGTCTACATTGTCAGTATGAATTGTCTGCAATATAAATTCCCATAATTAGAACGATAAAATTAACAAAATGCAAACGATAATTTCAAGCGCGGAAAAAAAATTCAATTTCCTATTAAATATTATTTAGTATAACATAGAAAGAAAAATAAGAATGAAACTAATGTACCTTTTTGGGAGGAACGTTATTTAAAATGTCAGCAGTATCACATATACCGTCCTGAAACATTTTTTTTAAATCAACTACTGCATATAAAGTATGTATAACAAAGCAAAACTTAAACTGCTCGGTATTAAATTCGTTGACAAAGCAGATCAGTGGATAAGTGATAACAGGTTCCACCTACCATCATGGCGTCCAAGCGTCTCTGACACGTTCTCTATTTTATCGAATAGAACTATACGATTTGAACTGATTGCAATTTTAATTTCGATGTTCAAATGTTGATCCTATACCATTCGAATAAAATTATTCTTTTTCCATTTACGTATATCGGTTTTAGAATAATCATTAGTTGAAAATTTTCTGCCAGTAGTAGAACGAACTTACTTGACACACACATAAATGTTAAAGCGTAGTTTCTCAAAGTGCACATATGTACGTATGTTGTCAAATCAGCTGTGAGGAAAAAAAGTAATAAAATATAATCAGAATACTTAAAGATTAAATGAAACGTAGCTTTGAAAATTACATTCCTGTAGCATTTATCAAACACGTGCATAAATAATATTTATTGTTATATCTCTATTGGCAAACAAATGATTTGTTTATTCTCAATAATTTCACATTTCACAAAGTATGATTACATTGCATTTAATATATCGATTACAATACTTTGAGTATTTTATAAATATCAAAATTTTTATTTGTTTAAAAAATAATGTTCTTAGTTATTTGCACTTTTGACAATTTCATTATTTTTTTCTTGAACACAGTAATGTGATAGCAAAAACGATGATAATAATAAGAATTTTCGTATTTTTATAATACGCTATAAACTACATGTCATTTCTTATACTTCTCATTTATTTTATGATTTTAAAAAGATGACGTGTATTTCAAATTTCTTACTGAATGATTGCCCATGTAGCCTTGAATTAGTTTCTGATCCTTCTTCGAATTCGTTCGACTTGTGTAATATACATGATCGATTTAATTTAGGGCTACGTGTACATTGATTTTAGTCAATATTTTATTATAAACTTGTTTTTAATTTTACGTAAGTTTGAAATGCCTGTAATATTTTATGTTCTAAAATCTCATTGCACGAATTATTACACTGCAATTTTAAATTTGTGTCAAATGCACTAATGGTTATTAACATTTAAATACATATTTATTTCAATATTCTTTTACACTTTATTTTAATATTTTTCTCGTATACGTTAGTTTAATATATACTTCTTGATGTTTGGTCTTTCATTTATTTAGGTTATAATAAAGAATATACAATGTATTCACAAATCCATATATTTAATATGTATATATTATTCACATAGTGTAAAATATTTGTATAAAATTTGTGATGTTAAGAAATATTTTTCAAATTATAATTCTTTTGAAATGTAATTAGTTAACCTTATATCTCATGTTTATACATGATTGTACTTATTTCATACATTGAATATTATTTAATACATTCTATATATAAAATATTGTATGTATTATTTATCGTTATTTTTTTAAAGCTTTAACAATGGCTGATCAGTATGATAAATTGTCATGGAAAGGTAAGTCAGTGAAGTGCATAGTTTAATCATTTATAACTTTAAAATTTAATTTATTAATATTTTGACATATTTTTTAAATTTTTATATATGTAGAAGTAAGAGAACTGTTCAGAACGTGGAGAGAAGATAGTGAACGAAGAAGTAAAGATGTAGTTGATTTATGGGAATCTAAATTAATGGGAAAAGTTGATCAACTTGGCAGTGAGAGTATGACAAATCGATATTTCATAAAATATTTTTCTCATAATATTAAATTTTTCTATAATATCTTAAATATCTTTCTATGATAATTTTATGTATGTAATTTTTAAATAGAATATCTGGTTTTGGAACAAGTCTGTATAGCTGCATTCGATTGTGCTCGCCATGATGTAGCAGAATATTGCATCAAGATACTAAAAAGAGCATTTCCTAGCAGTTTAAGAGTCCACAAATATTATGCTATGCATCTGGAAGCTTTGGAATTGTAACAATTGTTTATGAAACAGTTATGTAATAGTTGTATACTTTTATACCATACAAAAGAAATTAATTATATTTGCAGATATGATGAAGCATTAGAAGTTTTGGATTCTATTATAAAAAGAGATGAAACAACTGCAGCACCAAGAAAAAGACGTGTAGCTATATTAAAAGCAAAAGGTCGAATACCAGAAGCTATTAAAGAGCTTACAGAATATTTAAAAAAGTCTGTGTTTGAGTGATATTTTTTGATATTTTAAATTTTTAATTTATTTTAAGTTTCGCATTAATTACATCTTTTATTTACTATAGATTTATGAGTGATCAAGAAGCATGGCATGAATTATGTGATCTATATTTACAAGAACAAGAATATTCTAAGGCTGCATTCTGTATGGAAGAACTTATACTGCATAATCCACATAGTCATTTAATTTACCAAAGATATGCAGAAATAAAATATTCTCAGGTAATAAATATTTTTCACATAAAAACATTTGAAATTTAAATTTCATTGAAATAGTAAATATTTACTTATTTTTAGGGCGGATTCGAAAATATGGAATTGGCAAAAGCATACTTTTGTCAAGCTGCAAGGTTAAATCCAAATAATATCAGAGCTTTGTATGGTTTACTATTGGTAAGAACCAAAATTAAAAAAAAAAAATTTTATTGTACCCTTAAACTCTTACTGCAAGCTTAAACTTATAGGCAACAAATAATATCGCCACATCACCTAAATGTCCATCTCCTAAAAAGAAAGATGCAATAAAATTAAGTGAATGGGCAGCTAATCAAATTGAAAAACAATATGAATCAAAAGTATCAGATGAAGATATTAAATCACTGGAAGGATTACTAGGACAATTGCAACTCGAAATTTAGATATACAAATTTATATGTATGTATATGTTTAAATACTGTAATATATGTAAATGTACTATTGTTCATTCCTTGCAATTTACACGCATATATATAATTTATTATTTAATACAAATCTTTTGACAAGTTTCTTTTAATGTGTCAAGTAAATTTATATAGTAAGATGTTCACTGTATAAAACACGGTAAAGCATTATTTGCTGATTAAATAATTTTAAAGATCGGTTGTGAAAAAATAATAATATTACTGGAAAAAAATTCGTTATTTTTTCATCTCTACAAAATGTTAAAAATGGTTTTATTTCTGGTTCAGAATTTTTTCTTCTAATCTTATTATATGTTCACACACATTTGTATTTTATTCTTTAAAATGCGTATGAAAAAAAAATAATAGTTCAACAAAAATTATATTCTGAAACACGAATTTGAAGGAAAATAAATGTTTGTTACACGTAAAATAATCACAATCATCTTTTTGGATTTTCTTTATTATTCTGTTCCCAAAGTTCTCTATTCTTTGCTTTTTCTACAGCTTTCTTCATTCGTTTTTCTCTTCTACTTTCATTTCGTAATGCAAAATATTTTTCTCGGAAATCGATTAAGTTAGTGGAATTGATTTCATCTGATTCCTGAAAAAAAATTATTAAAAATATTGACCACATTACTTTTAGATATTTTTACTAATTGTATAAAATAATTTTTTACGCACACCTTTGGATCTTTTATTTTTTTGTAAGTCAATAACCTGCGACTAGTATAATTACTAAGTATTTGTTCTGAATTAGCTATTAATTCCAAACAGGGATGTGTTGGTAACTGATCCTCTGAATATTGATCTCTAAATAATAATTTATATTTTATTCTAAAAAAATAAATATTGTAATATTAAAAATAATTTTTGACTTACCTAAATAAAGGAAACCAACATACTAATCTACCATTTAATTTAAGATGTTTGGCTGCAAAAGTCAATAAATCTTTATACATTTGAGGTAAATCATAACCAATTTTTGATGGTATATGAGATGAAGCTTGATGTTCTTCTATCACTGGATTTAATTTAGTTGTGCCTATCCTTTCTGTTGCTTCTCTAATACCATAAGGAGCTGCAATTAATAAAGAAAATGATGAAATAAGATTTTTCTAGTAAGATTTATAATGAAAGAAAATGATACTTACGATCAGTAATTATAGCATCTATACACATATCAGAACGCCATAAAGGATAAGAAAAGTCTGATACAACTACATCAATATAGTATGATCTCTTTCCATATTGACTCATATTTGTAGCAATATTTTCGTCTTTTTCTCTAATCTAGCCATTATTTCGGTAATAAATAATATTATTCAACATAAGCAAAAAAAATTCTTTACCTTTTGTGATATTCTAGTAGGTCTTGTACGTCCATGAAGCATTAAAAAATCTATATCTGTACCCAATGTATATCCTCCAAAATGAGAAGCAGCAACTAATAGAGATCCAGTACCAACAAAAGGATCAAGAACAATATCTCCTTTTTGAACTTGTGCCTGATTAGCCATTATTAATGATAATTGAGGATCCATAGACGTATTACCAATAAATTTTCTGGTTTTCAGTGATAACTTTCGAATTAAATCTCTTTGTCCACTTGTAATCTAAAATTTCATCATAAAATGTAACATATATATGTTGATATACAATATAATATACCTACCCATCTACCAAAAAATAATTCATATGGTTCTTTAGGAATGTTATTAGGATCTAATCCATAAAATTCTATATAATAGAATGTTGTGTCTGGATTATTTAATCTTACTGATCCTTCCAATGGTAAATAACTGAAAGACTATATTTATTATAAAATTAAATTAAAATTTAATATAATTTATATTATATTTATTATTATATTATAAATATTATTTATTAATTTATAATTTAATATTTATTTAATTATTAAACATTTATTTAATTATTAAACATTTTATTTTATTTGTTAACTTATAAATATTATTTAATATAATTTAATTAGGCACTTACTTCAATTTTATTTACTTTTTCACCTTGTGAAAAGTGTTTACAAAATGTCTCAACTATTACTTTAAAGGATTTATGTGATCCTGCATATTTTTTAATTTCTGAAATTGGATAAGTTTTTAACTTATTATGCAAGTCTTCAGCTTGTTTACTATTAGCCCATAGTTCCATACAAAATCGCACACAGACTGCTCTACTTGCAATCTCATGCACTAGGTTTTCTGAGGGTAAATTAACTATCCAATAAGGCTATAATAAAAATTACTTGTGCATAAATAAATGTATTAAATTATATTATTGTAATAATTATATTTTCTTACATGTGTTTCTAATTTAGGATGAGTATAAATATTTACACCAAACATAGATAAAATAGACTGTATTTCCTAAAAAGAATAAATGTAAAAATTATATGGAGCAGACAAATAAAAATTAAATGAATTAAATAAAGAATTACTTACAGCTGTACGAAAATCAATGTGTTCTTGAGCAAACCAAAATAAATATTTTTTCCATTGATTATTCATTGTTGATGTCTTATATGTATACTCATTCAAATTCAAGTTACATTACTTAAATGATGATATTAATTATATTAAAAGTATAATACATATATTTTAATGCTAAAACAATTTTGCATTAAAACAAAATTAAAAAATATAAGTTGAAATAAACCATTTACATTTGTAATGCAGTATTTTTTACTTGACTAATTCATTTAATTTTTTCAAGTAAAAAAATAGTTTCTAATTTAATAGTTTCAAATTTAAATTATTACATATTGATTGAATTGCAATTGTATGTAAATATAAGTATTATTTAGCATCAAATAACACATGATCTATGATCTAGACATTAACCAACGTGATCAACACAAGATGTTCACATTATACGCGCCTGCGCATGTTTAATCGAAACCATAGATAAATAAAATATAGTGAGGTAATTATTATTGAAAAATTATGGTGTTACTTCATTATTATTATTATTATTTTTCATTACATGAAATTAGAAGCATTCTTATTACATTAAAATAAAGATATTTTATGATATATTCATCTGCTACCACATTAATAATATAATCATATCATACAAAGAAATATTAACTGTCATAATATTAATAACAATTATTTGGATAATGTGATCTATTCAAAATTACTTATTGATCAAAAGGTATCATAAAATATTATACAAATACTTAAACCTTGTAAAATATCGAAGAAAAGAAATATAAATTTCAGAAAGATAAATACAAAAGCGATATGGGAAATATGTAGAAATTACAAGAAAAAAAAGATAACATTTAGATATAAAAAATAATATAAATTATATGCGCATATATGAATTAAATGATAAATATAATAATTCTAGAAAAGTATAGTGTAATGTTTTTAGAAATATATGTACAAACATTATTTAAAATAGTCGGTAAAAAGGGAAACTATCATTTAATAATCGGTAGACTTAGAACATTATAGCTAATAGAACAGTGTACAAGAGGGCGCTATACTCGTAGTAACACTTCTTGTTGTTCTCATTCTAAGGTGGAATACTACTCGTCACTGTTTTCTGTTGTGTTTTTAGGCTGGAATCGGACGAAAAACATGCCGTTTCGGTAATCGAATGAGAAACAAAAGGCTTTTAAAAAGAATTCTTCTACCTACGTTTGAGAAAGGTGCTGTATTGTAAACGTGTGTGAACAGTGCAAGTGTAATTTAATAAGAGCAGGGGAGGCTGGCGATTTAATAGGATATTGATTTGTCCGCGACTGCCTTGCTGGCTCCATCGCACACACAAACCAGGTAGCCATGAACGTCGATATTTTTGGGGCACTGCCTGGTGCAACGTGTCGGGCGTACATATGCCGTGCTCTAATGTGCTTGAAGGCCTGATAAAGCCCAAAATGCAGCCAGTCACTGGCGATATGTGTTAACGATATTAGTTAAATTACGGGTTACAACGATTACATCTATTACGATTATAACGACCATCACGACGGCGATCAAAACGGCAACGACTACAACGATAACGGCGACGGCGGCGGCGGCCTCGACGACGACGAGGACGACGACGACGACGGTGACGACAACGGCGGCGGCGGCGGTGACGGTGACGGTGACGACGGCGGCGACGACGACGGTGGCGGCGGCGGCGGCCACGGTGACGACGGCGGCGGCGACAACGACGACGACGACAC